AATAATTAAAGAAAATCCGCTTGGTTCCATACTTTATATTCACTTTGTATATGTATGTATAGGTTTTATCGAATTCCGATATTTGAATTTTAAATTTCCAATTAAACTTTTCATGTGATTCTAGAAACTATAAGTTAACAACATATGAATAATGCAGAGACAGAAGATATCAGTGTTGTCAACTTAATTTAAGAAATACAGGCCACATTGACAAAAAATTTAATAGCAAATTTGTTTCATTTAAACCAAACATCCAGATTTATATAAAAACAGTATGTAACTAGAAATTACGTTGACATTTTAGTTTACTGTAATTATTATTTGGTGTTTGAGGTCACACTGACAAAAAATTTAACAGCAAAATTGTTTCATTTAAACAAAAACATCCAGATTTATATAAAAAAGTATGTAACTAAAAATTACGTTAACATTTTTGTTTACTGTAATTATTATTTGGAGTTTGAAAGACTTCTTTGAATTGAATTAAAGACAAAAAAATTGATAAAATGACAGAAACCCTTGTAACAAAAAGCCATTTTTTCCTTTGTGGAATGAATAAGAGTCTATGCTTGAATTTCAGTTTGCTGAAATCTTTAAAATAAAAGAGGAATTAAATTCATTAATGTGGTATAATAACGCAAAAACCTCTTAGTCAAATATTCAAATTGGAAATTCGCCAATAAAAGAAAATTTGCAAGCGGCGTGTTATTTTATTCAAATTTTCCCTTTGCAGGTAGAAAAGGCTAAAATAAGAGAATTAATAATGCAGGGTACCTGAAGCGCTTCCAAATAACCTCACAAACTGAACATTTACAGAGTCACAAAATAATCTCTATTCAAGTAAAAATTCCCCATTAATTATTTAAAATAAATGTCGCTTTTGTGCCAATATTGGATTTGTAATTAGGTAAAGCAGTGTAAATCAAGAGGAAACACGGAGTTAGCGACTGTGCTCTAATTTAGCGAAAGCATTCGTTACTCGCATCAAACGATGTATGTAATCATTGTGATTCCCCGTTTCTATCAATTCACCCCCGGAATGTCATTATCTCATAAATTACGGTTATTAGACGAGTCGAAGCGTCTCTTGCAGTGACGTCGCGTTTATTTTAATTTTCCCTCTTGTTATTGTTACCTTTGTTAAATCACGTCGAGCGGAGAAAGTCGGTGGAGGCAGCACAGATGTTCCCAACTTTGACATTCACTCTATTATGTTTGAAAATCCATTGAGAAAATACGTGACCTCAGTCTTCGAAAATATAGTTAGGCTTTATTTATCGAATTGTTGAGTTAAAACGTAATTTTCCAAAATCAAATTACATTATAAGATTTAGGAAAAAACGGATAAGTCTCAAAGACCGGAAGGAAAATTCAAACGAATTATGTTTGTTATGAGTTTAATAACAAGACGAGTCTCTATTTGTATTTGGAGCTGGTGCCGAAATGAACACTGTTTAAGTTGAGATAAAAGAATTTAATAATATCCCCCAGGCTTGCTTTGCTCTTATTTATTAAAAGTAGCTTCATCGAGATAATCTCAATCCCGGCGTTATATAAACACAGTTAATTATTTTTTTAATACAAGTGGTAACTTTACAAAAACAAAACTATTCAGGTCTTGACAAGTTTCGTGGTCCTCTGCAAACACCAAAGTCCAATAAGAGTTGCCAACTTCTCCTAGTGGAAAATCTCTTGTAGTCATTTTGTTTTCTCTCCCTCCTTTGTATTTCAGTACTTTACTCTTGTCAAGCTAAACGATCGACATCGGACCAAATAGCGCATCCTAATTTCTTTATTATGATAAAACGAAACATTTTGTACATAAATGTAACAAGAAAACACTTCCTTGGCACAAAATCGATAAAGAAATAAAAAGTTTCATTTTTTACTTTTAATGAATCCACTTTGGAAAGAATGTCTAATTAAAAGAATACAGAAATTTTGCCGATTTATTAAGATAATAAAAAAGTTTGCATTTTATGAAGTTGAGTCGGCTTTTAGTGCTGAATATTTATAATTCGAGACCGGATTTTAAGGATTGACGCTTGAATTAATCCTAAGCTGGAAAAGATTGCCAAATTAAAGGTCGCTTGTAGACTTATAAGACAATGAAAATCCTAATCTACGCCCCTCAGGATTCAGTAAAATTAAGTTTTTCAAAGTAAACAGGATCCTAGATAAATAGTGTGATGTTTAGAGTTTGCGACTTGACTAAAGTTGCTCAGAAGTGAACTTCAAGGACAAGATTTTGCAAGTGTTAGAACACTAACCGACGTAATGTTTCAGAAGGCTAGTTAACGTGTGTTTACCCTTGCCTTAAATGTTAATGAATTTAATATTGTTTCGTATTTACACATACTCCATGGCCGAGTAAACAAGGGGGGATTGAGAATGCTGTAATATAGCCCGAGATTTTAGCAAAGGGATGATTATGGGGCTGTGCTCTGAAAGGATTAGAAAGTGGAAAAGCAGCTCTTCAGGAAAGTGGCTGCAGGTACCAACCGTAAAAACTCCCTAGATTCAACGTTGTCGCGTTTCTTGTTGAAATCACAACGTTTTGTGTTTGTTCTCAGCCTAGCTTTAATTAATTTTCCGTCCAAGAGTTTGTCTTTTGCCGCTAAGTGATGGTTAATTCATCTAAAGCATGACGCTTAGTGGTGTGCCGATAATGCGGCGAGTGGTTTGCGTCTCCCCACTGAATTGCCCCCGTTAATTAATTTAGGAATTTTACAACTAGGATTAGTGCTTATGGAATACTGGCGTACAAGATTCAGAGCCTTTGTGTTGGAATTATTAAGATTTAAAGCCGTCTTAAACACTCCGATCACGTTCTAATTTAATCGGGACCGGCACAATTGATATTTTTCACAGAGTGAAAAATGAAAAAGCGCCACTTACTTGACCTAATTTTCCGAGCTGAGAGAAAAATTTTCAAGAGGCGAAGAAAATATTTACAGAAATCTCGTAGGTACATTGCTTATGATAAAAAATTGTTGCACTTAAAGATTACTACACTCTTTGCTTTGATCTATCTTTTGTAAACACCCTCTTCTTATAATAATTATAAGACATGTTGTTTAATAACAGTTTTTAAAAATCCAAAAACTTACTTCTCGATCATTTCTTCTTGTCAATAATTTGTCCGTGTGCTAAATTACCGAATCTGATTGGATGAGTGTCAGAAATCTGAAAAATTTGAGTGACATATTTTTTTAAATACCCAATGTGACACTGAAATAGGAAAAAGTTCTTATGCTCTTTTATGCGCTTTTCCTTACTTGTGGTTTGTTCACTTATTTGTTCTTAATCTCTTTCTCTTTCTTATTATGCTTTGCGTTCTTATTTATTTTGCTCTTATGCGCCCTCTCTCTCTTTCTTATACAGAGTATAATTGTAAAAAAACATACAAGATCATCAGTATCATTAAATAGATATAAAAAAATGTCAAATGTCAAAAAATTAATGTCAAAATTTTTTGACAGATAGAATTTTCCTGGTATTTTACCTTACTTGAAAATTGTCTCTGGGGCGCAAGTTCTGGCGCACCCTGTATACTTAGTAGAATATGTGCACATGTTTTAAAGTTCGCGCTTTTATGCGTCCGCCATATTTTATTCCTAATTTGAATTTAAATTAGTCCAAAATTGCTGACTTTAGCGACAGTCTCAATGTTTTAATTCAATATAACCACAGTATGTTCCCGGATTGGATTTACAGAGAAAACAAAAAATATTTGATTTATTTTATAGATTATTTTATAGAATGATTTGCGCGTTTCAGGTAAAGCAAAAAATGTTTTTCCTTTGCAGTTTTGGTGTAAAATCAAAAAAAAAAATTGTAATTGTAAACTCAATCCAAGGACACACTGTATTCACATAGTCTTACACAAAATTAAAAAATATGTTTCTTGCATTTTTACAACGTTTTTGTACTTTTCCAAGAGTGCAAATGGTTTAATTTGAAGTTTTTAATTTTTTCAATTTTTGTTGAAATTTTGAGCGATTTTCGGTACTCGGGGCGGTTTATTGCTAATAACTTCGAAATTATTGACGCTAGTCGTTTTTGTTAAATACCATAGCTAAACAAATTTAATTTTTTGTCACATAAAAAAAGATAATTGTCCTACGTTAAATAGTTATTGAGAAAATTGCTGTCAAAAATATTCAAAACATTAATTCAACTATAACTTTTAAACAAAAAAACATATGCAGTTTTCTCGACGCTAGTCGATTTCTCAGAACTTCTTACATACGTATGCATAAAAAACATTATAACGTTTAGGGTACAGTTTTGCCGCAAGTTACAAAAAAATGTAAAAATTTGTGAATCTTGTGAAGAAATGACAACATCGAAAATAATTGTATACAAAATTCAAATGTTTAATTTGGTTGTTTCTAAAATATAATTTTTATTTTGTACTCAATGTTAAAGATTGCTTTTATCAACTAATTTCAGTAGTTAAAGTAGTCTTTTATCGTCTAGTAAAATAAAGTAATTTTTTTCTACTATTTATATTCAAGAAATTCTGGTAGGTGAGTGAAAAATAAAACGAAATATTATACACCACGATAAAGATTGTTTATCGTCTTGTATAATACATAAGTATAGTTTTATCATCACCTTCTCTTAGTTTTTGTTCTAATTGTTTAAACACCGATTATATGGAACTCTTCTGTGGGGATATCGCAAAGCAGAGATTCTGCTGTAGCAACCAAATTTTTTTTACATTCTCGATATCCTACATTTTTTGTAAATAAATTAAATCAAACAACTGATCAAATAGTAACGACAAAAATTTAGCAAAATCAATGTAGATCCGATTTTTAATTATTATTTTTTGAATTCTCAAAGCATCTATTGCGAATACTTTCAGAGTCCACATTTTATGCGAATGGCCCAGTATAACGTCCTTTACAATAAAGAATTAAATTCAGTATAGTCCCATTTTTCAAATTACGCGTTAACTTTGCTACACATTTCTCCAATAACTATGACTTTATTTATAGAATATCACAATAGATATTACACTCTTTTGACCCCACCGGCAACAACTGTCCCACATTGTCCATCAAATCCACCACATACGTTCTCAAAACCGTCGTCTTCTTTTTACTCTGAATCAGCGCTACTTCGTTCCAATACAATTTATTCTTGCCTTTAACCAAAGTCGCCGGTATGTAAACATGATCAGCCAACGCTTTAAAAAGCAAAGCCCTTTCACAGTGAAAACCCAAACGCAAATACCCGATCGGGATCATGCTCGTACCGAGCTTTTCTTTAATGCATTCGATATGAAGCTTGAAGGTGTGCAACTTATCCGAAATTGAACAATTCTCCGCCGGACCACAAAGACAATCAGCGACGAATTTCGCCAAAACTTGAATTTTTTCATGTAAACGTGACACGGCACTTGTTAGTTTCTCGACACGAGAGAAGTATTTAGGCAAAAAGGGGTCGTGCGAAAGCTGGCCGAAATTTATCACGCACTTCATTTGATCCGAAGAAATTGATGCAACTGACGATGAGCAGAGACTTGATTCTTTGAGGCTCTGTCTTTGGATACTTAAACAATCGTGTGTCTCTTTCGTGTCGTTTTTCTGGCGTCCACAGTCATCGATGACATAAATTGTGCTCATGGTGGACATTCGCCGGATTTCCAAAACTTCCAAAAACGGGAAAGGCCCACTCCAAGGACCAGTGATGACGTAGAATCGTTCATGCAATTTATCAGTTAGTTCCAATCTTCCGGTCTCGAAGAATTTCACCGGTAAACACATACTGTACACCAAATTTATAACGCGTTGAATAAGAGGATTCCGGTATTTCACACTTTCCGGGATTTTCTTGAGAACAAGTAAGACTTTCTTCAAAACAAAATCGTTTGCTAATTTCTCGAACATCAATGAGTTGTGAATAAAAATCACAAGTAGACGAATCGTTTCTTCGTTCGCACTTATCGCTAGTTTATCAACAATAACTTGCGAACCGTGATTTAATAAAAAGTAATTTCGAAATTCTTCAACGCTCAAACAGTTTATCATAATTTCCAAACTCCTCATGCATATTTCATCAAATTTACTCAAAGTTTGAGTGAGAATTATCTCGTATAAATCGGGGGAAAGAATCACTTTTTGCAATTGGTTGTTAGTAACGAACATATTGACCATTTCTAAGACCATACGGTACGAATTTTCGGGCAACTTTTTGCGCAAATACCTCATCAAAATCGCAATTCCGTCGTAGGCCCGAATCATGTGAATTGTTCTAGAGTCCCGCCGACACAAATAATACAAAGTCGATAACGCAGTCTCATTATCGAGGTCGTAAACATCGTTTTGGCGGCCTAGGATCGAAAGCAGTTTTTTCACAACGATGGGAGTTACCATTTTCTCACAACAATACTTGTGTTTTGACATGAAACGCACCGAATCACACGTTGTGTTCAAAACTTGCTTATCGTCGCTGTTTAAAAATGATAAAATTGTGTCCTCGATGGACAAATCGAAGAGGAGTTGTTTAATCGAGTCGATTTTTGCCAGTTCGAGAAAAATTTTAGCACAGATGAGGGTGACTTCAGGGGGGCAATTTTTGACCCATTGACAGAATTTTAAAAACTCGAGAGTTGTAATGAAATAAGTTTTGGTGATTTCATTACCCATGCAATGCCAGACAATGTTGAGACAAGTTTGGATGTGTTCAGTGTGACTCGGATCCATGATGATATTAAACATGTGCTCGACAATTTGGCATTCTTTGAGCCGGTTTAAGAGATGATCGTCGCCGAAATAAGTAATTTTTTCAAAAATCGCTAAAATAGTCCTGAAACAGGCTTCTGACGTGTTCATGTGTTGAATGAACAAGTCCAAGTTGAAGTCCTTTTCTTCGGGTAAATCCCTCCTCACTTGCTCCATTTCGATAAACTTGCTGAATAATTCAAGCGAACTATTCAGAATAGTGTCACTTTCAGGCGTCTTTACCGTTTTCAGGATGGCAGAAATTAAGCCAGGTTCGGCTAGTAAAATATGGGCGCGCCCCAATTGTGCAAAAGCCGCCAAAATGAGAATTGCGAATTCTTTCACATTGGAGTCCTTGTGTCCTGTGTAAAATCTGGTGATTTTAAGGACTTGCTCGTCGAATTTCTGTTGGTTTAATTCGAGTTGGGCGGCTTCTATAGCCAGTAATTGGGCCAATAATCTTAAGGAGAGTCTCACGATGCAAATGTTATGGTCGAGCAATGCCAGCAGTTTTGGCATGAGGCCACGCGAGTGAATGAATATTAAGTTGTTCCGTTGAATGTCCGCATATTTTGATAGGAATAGGAGCGCCTCCAACACGAGGCTGCTTTCTGGACTTTCGAGGAGGGTTATTGATGTTTCAATTTCCTTTGTTATGTAGGGTTTTTCTTTGATGGCGTGGTGCTGAGATTCGTCCAATTCGGACTTTTTCGCCTTGGCTTTTTTCGGTTTCATTCTGAATAAATGACAAGACTGTCAAAACGAATCATTTGTCAATTTGTGAAAAACTCTGATGGGGTTTTTGCGAGTCGAGCGCTTATTAATTATTATTTAGGTCCATTTCTAAAATGAGAGGCTGCAACCTTTCCCACTGGAACGGTGCTTAGAGAGAAGGGATTTTATAAAATATTAACACTCTTAAAGTAATTTTGAAGAGAAATACAAAAGCACAAACTCTAATCGTATTTAAAGGGATATGCTATTCGTATGGCTTTTATTTTGTTTGCACCTTCATCAAATATTTATCCTAAAGCAAAATTCACTCTCTCCGTCGCTAAATCAAAACAACGATGATGAAGATACGCTAGTTGCCGAGATTTCCACCCACTCAGTTGGGGCAAGACATATGAGTTTTAATAAAAAAAGAAAGCAATTTGATTTTTTTAGCATAATACTTTGAAAATAATTTATATTTAGATGTTAATAGAATACGAGTACGAGTGCAGAGTGTGTCAGCTTGTTAAAAGAGCACTGGGGCATAACAGAAATGTTATTATATTGCGTAATTTTTTTAGTACAATTTTTGTAATTTATTTTTGACAAAACTTTTTTGTAAAACATACAGCAGGCGCTGTAGAATTTTTATTTATACCTAATCCGATTTCAAAAATTAAAAGAATAAATTAAATAGCTTATAATATACTATAAACTGACAATGTTTTTCTAGACAATGTTTTTCTACAAAGCCCAAAGGCTTTATCCAACTTTCTAATTTTAAATTGAAACCCATATTTTTTTCTTCATAATTTGGAAAGTACAATTACGCACATGGAATTTTGGACGATTTGTCATTCGACTGACAAAAAATATAAAAACACATAAAAATATAAAACGGGTCTTATGCAACTAACCTCCCTTTTGGTTTTGTAATTTTTATGCTGACAGCTAGACAAAAAGCGACAACAAATCAAAATAATTTATTGAACTTATAAAAAACACGTATTGCTGGCATTATTGTTTCGGAAAATCGACGCAAAAATAAATTTCAAATTTAAGTTTCAAACGTCAACTATAATGGCAATACAGCGTGGCTTACATTGACATTTTTTGAACTGTCATAAATCTGATGACCAAAATTCCGTGTCTGCAATTTTTTTAGTTTTCTTGATACAGACATGTGCAATATGTTTCACTTTTACTAAAAATTATTATTTAAAAAATTATCAAAGTTGAGAAAAGTAATAATAAAAGTTAATAAAATATATAGTTACATGATCATGATGGTGTCAAATAAGACAATGCCATTACTGTAATGTCAAAAAGTAGCAAATGACAATAATAATTATCTTTAACAAATCAGAAAACACCTAATTTACTTTTGTTGATTTATTTTATTAATTATTTTGTTTACTTTTAATAATATTATTGCTAACGTCAGTTTTTCTATTGACACGATGCAACTATACTTTATTTAAAATTTTTTTAAATTTTATTTAAAATTAGAAAGTTGAACATAGCCCAAAATATACTATAACATTTAAAAAATTCCAAAATTGTCGGATTATACTATATTAAAAGTCATTTAATTTAGTTATACAGGATGTTTCACGTAATTTTACGAGGCTTGCGCCTGTAAGATGCAATCAATAATACATATTCCGATACGAACTCGATTACAAATTTTGAAATATTGAATAATATTCTCTAGTTTGTTCATCCATTCAAAAATTACAACGTTTTTAGTTAGTTAGTAATTAAGATAGATAAACTAGAATCATATTCATGCCTTCTCTTGATAGAACCCATGATAATTGTTTCTGAAAAACTGCAGTTTATGACTATTTTAATGAGACAGTGATTAGTTTGACAACTACTGTCATGGGTTTCCAAAAATTAAATAATTAGATGTGTATTTTTTGTATCCAGTGTTTTGTGACTTTTGTATATTTGGGTGCGTAGTTTAAGCGCAAGCCTCGTAAAGTTGTGCGAAACACCCTGTATAATCTTTGAAATCGGGCCATAAATAAAAATTTTAAAACGCCTGCCGCTTTTTAAAAATCACCCTGTATAAACACAAACTCAAGAATATGTTATGTTTAAAAATAGAACACTAAACACAAAAAATAGATAATTGGTTACCAAGAATGGTGGATGCGCCGGGCAAAAAAGCAAAAGCAGCTGTAAAATAAAGCGGTTGAATTGGCGATACCCAAAATAAACGTGCTTTCAAAAAAACAAAATATAACATTATCGATTTTTCTTTATTATAGAGCCCTAAAAAACAACCGTTTTCTTGTTTGTTAAATGATTTGTAAAATTTATATAAATTTAAAAATGTTCCAGAGCTTTTAAATATGATTTCATCGCTAGTCGTCGCCTCTGGCGTGTCAAGTAATAAACTAAAAGGAAAATGTTTGCTCTCTGGAGATTAAAGTGATTTGGTCCGGCTTTGACCCTCTATGAAAAGCCTTCTGTTAGGGTTCGATTCTAAAATTAAGATTGGCCGAAGCTTATCTCTGTAAAGCGTGAGATTTTGGCGAGCTTTTTGTGATGTATCAATTTTCCTTGAGAATGTATAAACGTGGGTCCGATGACAAAACATCGATTTCGCGTGTAAGTCGTAAAAAAATGTGGGAGCCGAATTTATAACCCCCCTTAGCGGGACTTAGCAATATCACACATCAAATCTTCGGAAAATTCACCGCAATGTTAATAAAAAGCCCCGATTGTTATTTCCCTCTTTGTGTTTACGAATTAGACCCCCGAGGCCCCAACTGAATTAATCATAACTAACCGCTGTAACCGCACAATTATTTCCTTTGTAAAGACTCCCTCTGCTCATTTATTTAAAGACACTTGTCTGTAGAAAAATTCGCTAGGCGTCTGAATAATATAATCGTACTCTCCGAACAAACTTGAAGTTGAGATGAAAGGCAAAAACTAACGGAGCATAAGAGTCCGTATGAATTTTTATGCGAGTGCCTTTCCACACTGTAACACATTCAAATTTAATCCGGACGAGATTTGCAGACCTAGTAATAGATAAAACAGAGAAAAGTTTAACTGAAGCAACTGATTTGAGAAGCTTTGTTACGGTAAGAGCCTAAGCGTTAGTTATTTTTAATACTTTTGTGCAAACTCATTTTGCGGAAGAGAGTTCATTCAATCTTAAATTCTTTTGTCATTTGCTGATGGAGTGTCGCGCGACGACATTGTGAAAGAAACTCGACGTTCAACTGAGATGATTGCAATTTATAGAAATGGGACACTAAACCTACGCATTTGTTAGACTTCAGACAGAAATAACAAAGTAGCGCATTTTGGGCCTTTTTCAACAAAATGAGTAATGTCTTCATCAAGGTAAGTGCCACATACACATTCGAAAAAAACATTTACTTGAGAATCTTTAAAAAAAAAGCTAACAACGCCATAATTTATGAGAAAAACGGTGGGTTCTACTTCATTTCGTCACCAGAAATATTCGCAAAACCGCGAATGATTTACACCGGTGTTTATTTTGGGTTATCTGCGATGGCGATAGAAGCACATTTCCGCACGCTTTTTGGCCAATTCGCCCGCTGGCAAAAAAGCCGAATAAATTTACTACGTTTAGATAAAATGTTGCTGAATAAAGCGACCTAGACGTCTGCAATAAATCATACATGTTTACACACACTCGTGTGGAGTTAACGCTGTAATGCATTGTCCTATTAGTAACTGGGCGGAAGTGATAACAACCACTTTATTACACAGATAGCAGTGTCCTAATTTACACAGCTCGGGTCAAGTCAGGTCACAATTATTTAAACATTTCACTCCGCTGATGCTGTAAAAACTTTTTCGATCATCTGCCATTGTGAGAGGAAATCGACGTTCCGATAGATAGTGATTTAGAAGTCAATTTTATGCAAAGTGCGAAAATCAAATGAAGGATGTATAGTGAGAGAGCGGATATGTGTGGAAAGCCATGAAAGAAAATACTTCTCTTGTCGCAAGCATATCCCAATCTAAATGGGCTAATTAGCATAAATCCCCTTCAGAAGCTGAGTAATTAGTTCGAGTGTGACGTTTAATTGCCACGTAAACATTCATCAAAACGCGACAAGTACTTTCCGAGGCTTTGAGCAGATTTTATTATGACCACCGAATAAAGACGAGATCTCATTAAAGCTTTGTAATGGAGCATGCAGCATTATTTGGGTTCCATTCCAGACCGAGTGCCGCAACCCGATCTCATAACGTTAAGAGAAATGTCCGCATTCCACTTTATAGCCCATCTTTTCAATACCGACATGCTAGTGTCAGCTTTTAAGCAAAAATCTTATCTTTACGACGACAGGATTACATCAGATGAGGGTAAAAACGGATTCCAACCCTTGGTAGAGACATTTGCCTACATATTCTACAAATTAGCGCTAGACGTATTTTTTCAAAATGTAAGAGTATACCACAAGAAAATCTAAAAACGTGCTTGCTTTTAAATTCCTAATCGAAGTGGCCTGTGAATCGAAGTTTGCAACACTGAATGACACAATACGATCAAATAAAAAATAAATTAGAGTAGGCGTCGATTAAATTCTACAGTTGGCAGCACATTGGCTGGGAATCTGGGCTGGAAATTTTCCACACAAACTGAAAGTGAAAATGACCACCGTTTTCTTCTTGTACAGCAATAAAAATTTTCTGCTCTAAAATGAATATTATGTCACTCAAAAGGAATAAAACTCAAAGTTGTCAAAGTTTCCGCTGACATTTGATGTCAAAAATCAGGATTGCCATCTGAAGGACTTTAATCACCGCCTACTCTAATTTTTTTTTTTTTTGATCGCACGGTATAACGACCCTATATTTGTTATTTTTCAAAGCAAAACATTTTTTTTATTTCAAGATTTTATTTGAGTCAATACCTCCTTAACTAAAAACATCACTATTTAAAATAGAAAAAAATGTTTCATAAAAGAGATTCAGGTCACTATTTTAGACAAAATTTTAACAGTTGTGTAGCCTTAAACACATTTTTGTTTTAAACAAATTTCACATTTTCATTTTGAAAAAGTATTTACAGAGCATTCTTAATTACAATCAAAATTTAATTCGCGATTAATTTGAAAAGGTAAAGTAACTGACAACTTAATCCGAATTTGTTTAGTGTTGAATTATATTTTATTTCGCCTTTTCTAAATCGATTAATGTCAAATTAAAATTTCATTGTTGCCTTTAAACAAAGGTGAATTTTCGGTAAAAGTTCATGTTTGGACGGATCAAGACGCCATCCCGTAGCCAATGAGGTGCTAGCATCTTGACGTCATATCATGCGAATTGTGCAATACTCGAATTAATTTGTGAATTTGCGGAATTACGCAGTCCCAAACAAAGACTTTTTACAACAAAACTGTTACGAAATAGGTTTTTGTGAATCTCGCCCTTTTTTTGAAAGAATTATTACAATAACGAGTCAGTCTTAGCCTTGCTCCCGTACGAGTTAATTGAATTGTAATAATTGTCCGATAAATTATGTAGAAATGGGGGCTGTATTATCAGTGCGTGCGTGTTGGGTATTTCCGAGTGCCTAATACACATTTATTAGTGCGAGATGTTTAAAATTCCGAGTTATTAGTGAATGCCAATGGTGGAAATGGAGGAAGCAACGTTCTACAAGAATCCAATTAAAGGATTAGTTAACAATACCTTTTAATTTCTTTAGAAAAATCAGATTTAAATTTTATTTAACATTTTCGACTGATTTAATAAAACATTGAACTGATTTTGCGTTTCTTTATTTTCAGTAAGTCCGTTTAACAAGCAGAGGCAAATTGCTACAAAGGGTAGCAGAAAAAAAATGCCATATAAGGTTGGTGTATCTTGATTTTTTATTATCGGAAAGTGAAGTGTGTAAATTTGTGATTTGAATGTGTGTAATTGAGTGCAACGTACGTATTTATTACATTATGAATAGAAAATAGTTGTGTTTTAGATAAAATGTATCATTTTTCAAATTCATTTTAAATTTGTAGAAAACAAAGCTGCTACCAAACAATTTAAAAGTAAATCTTGAAATTTTAAAATTAAACTCAAATTTAATTGAGATTCAAAAAGAAGCCCATTTAAAAAGTTGTAATATTTTTAAGATATGTCTCAATGCTAACATCAAAAATAATAACGTAATTAATAATCAGACAAAAATTAACACAAAAATTAATATTGTTATAAAGGTAGGGAATACGAAAGTGTTTGGGCAGTGCGTAATAAAACTGTATGGTCTAATCCAGTATTTATTGGGCTGGAGAAATGTTCAACCACAACATAGCAGGCCAAACAGTAAAGTATTAATACAATATATTTACAGAAACAGACACAGCTACCGCACATGCTTCATTCATGTGACGTGTAGCTCTAACACTGGATTATAGTACGAAATCGTGCTTACAGAGTAGTTTCGTTTCTCTTATTTCTTCCAGTAATTATCACAACCACTCCATAAACACAATACAAAAAATGACACCGGTTATACAATCCATATCTGTGACACAGAACAGGTACCTATAAAAATATATACATAATAAAAGAAAAATAAATAATACATCATAAACAGAAGAAATATTTAAAAAATGTTTTGTCCACTCTAAGGGTGATGCGAGAAATGTCACATTGCATTTGTTTTAAAGCGGACGGCCTCTGGTTACCTATTTCACTTTGTTTAATCTAGAGATTATTGTGATGTAGACGTAATAAAACACTGGGTTTATATAAAATTTAACTTATTTTAGGACTCGAGAGTGACACTTGACTTCGAAAGTGTCACTTTTGAGTTACACAAGACATAAATTAAAAATCCTACTTAAAACTAAAACCGGAAAAAATATGAACAATAAATACATAATATAAAAATAAAATGTACAACTTTCACTTAATTGTAACTACTTAATGTAAGCATTGTTTCATAATTTGATTATGGTTTGTTAGTATTAAAATGCAATTGATAAAACCTATACAATACACTGTAGGTAGTGTAATTAAAACCAAGTCCTAATATGGCTTGCTCACTTCGAGCTGATCCGAAACATGGCAAGTTTCCCTATATTCGAATTAAGTTAAAAAAACCCATGACGAAACCCATATTGGATATATTTCCAGCATATCACAGTACCGAAAAAATAAACGCTTTAAAACCAATGGTACATCTTATTGTCGTTTAACTGTCAGCTCTTTAAAACATTGACTAGAAATACAAAAACTTGTAGGTGGCGTTTTATAAATGATTTGTTTATTTTTATAAGACCCGCAATATATTTTGGATAAAGTCTAAGCTCTATGTATCTTTTACATAACTAATTAGACAAACATTATGAAAGCCCAATTTACGTTATGATTTTTTTACATAAATTGAATATGTGTTAGTACAAATTTTAAAGATTAGGCTTATTATGGTGCCATATCGCTAGTTTAAAAAAGGCATTTGAAAAATATCTCATATACGATTATATTATCATCTAGGAATCATCAATACCAGTTATAACATCGGTCTATGATTATATTTTTTACATTAAAGAAGCGTTAGTAAAAATGTTTTTCTACTTTTTTTCATCAACTCGCTACGTACATTTATACACATTTCATTCGATTCGATGTTGGTCCAATTTTTATTATTAATTTGATATAAAATATCGCATCTACCGATGACCGCTTCTCACTCGGTTTGTTTTCTTCTTTTGCTGTTTCACCGCCTCTTTCGATTCTTGTTCCAAGTCTTTATCCAATTCGGCCATGGCCTCTTGAATGGCTTTCTCCAGATGAGAATTCAATTTGCGAGATCTGTCCAAAAAAACACGAACTTTAGACCACATTCGTGCAAAAGTACCAACAGATGTCGCCTTGTGCCAAAATGTCAGATTACAAAGCCAACTGTATTTTTTTTATTTATAATAGTGTAGCGAATATTAATGATGTGGCCAACTCACGTTCTGCATTTTTTTCGCGCTTGGTGATGAGCATCAAGACCCTCAGTAAGTGTCTGCAAGGAACCTCTGTCTAATTTTGTAATTAATTTTTCGCTGCCGAACCATTTAACCGAAACATCGTTCCCATCGACTTGTATTATTTTGCCAGGCCAAGCTGGACTTGTTTTAGCCGGCCCCCAAACCAAATCGCCAACAACAAAATTATGTTCTGTCTTTTCACGTTTCTCATTATCTAAACACCAAATAAAAATCAATTGAAACTTAGATCTAGTATGATTTTTGATGCGAAAGCTGTTCGTGACAAATGCAGTGATCGTGATAGATGGAAGTGAATTATTTACAAAATTTCACACACACCACTTTGTTAATAAATCCTCTGTACATTATTAATGTCTAGGTTAGCCACACCATGTAATATTCCACACTGTGATTATGTGAAATGTTGGGAGAGAAATAGGCGTCGACGTTGTGATTTTGTTATTTTCCATTACCGTTTTTATCCTGACATGAATGAACCATGCAGAAAAAAAGAGAAACTCAACCCCAGCGCTAAGCAAAAAAGCAAAACCTCAATTACGCAACTCAATTACCTTCTTCCTCGTCGAAAAGCGACGAATGCATGTGATGAGTTTCCATGACGAGCAACGTGTCGCTACTTTTTCGTTTCTGTACGATTTTATCGAAATTGTGAGAACTGACGACGGCCTCTTGGGCTTTCATTTGATCGCTAATAAAGTGCAAACCGGCCATCATTGTCGATTCGGCGTAAGCGACGTGAGTCGGAGTGTTTTGTTTTTTAGAAAAATGCATTTCCGATAAATCGGTTTTTTGCTGGGGGATTGACGACACTCGAGACCAGTCGTGGTCAGAACCTTGGACGTTCAAATCAGCCGAATCCGGCTCGCTGCTTGATATGCAGTGCACCATCGCCTGAAACAAGCGAATATAGACATTATACGATGTGCAACGCAAGTAAAAGAAAAAAATTACAGCGATCTACATTACCGAGTAAAATAGATAAGTTTTCTTAATTAATTTTACTACTTCAACATTACAACAACAATAAAATAATGTTAAATTTATAAGAAATGGAAAGAAAAAATTACACCAAGAGAAGAAACTAAAAAAATACAATACTAACTCAAGTACAATGTTTTTATTTATTCGTAGAACAAATGTAGATAATTTAGTATTTCCTCCAAATAATAATTTTAAAACACTGTATAAGAAATAAAAGAAATTTGTTTTTTGATTAAAAAAATAATAATGAGATAGATGTACCAATTGACAAATTCCTTACCATCGTGCAGGCTGACTGCCTCCCCGCACTGTCACACGTCGCTGAACAATTCGACGGCGCTGGTGACAACCCATCATCGGTACTTCCCGTATGGGTGGTCGTATCAGCCGTGGCGGGACTCTGCCCTCCCGACGCCAATGGACTATGCGTGGTTGTATCTGGGGGACTCCCCGCACACAATGTCGATGTCTGACAGAACGTCGTCACTGTCTGTGCATTTTGATTCACCGCTGTTTGCGTCGACACCGACTGTCTATACGAATTTGTCCCTGGACTCTCTCTTTGTACTTGAACAAGCGCCTGCACTTGCTTATTATCATTAGCGATGATAAAATTCTGATCAACATTAACGGTCGTTCTATTTCCTCCATTATTCTGGAAATTCTGTAATTGTTGACTATTCGAAACCATTGTGGTTTGTTGCTGGACTATAGTAGTGTTTTGTTGGACAAAAGTCGTGTTTTGGGAAGAGGAAACAGCGATATTGGCGGCTGGTGCGCACGGGACCATCAAAGTCTGACCCATTTGTCCACATTGGATAAACTCTTGTTGACCCTGAGTCGGCCTAATCTGTGGCGTGGAAGTGCCAAATGTGACTTGTTGACTCGGACTCACACTAGCAACTAAGGGACTCAACTGACCACTAAATTGTGTCCCATTGACGACAAATTGGCCCCCGTTGGGTGACAAAAACTGAGCCCCCGGACTGTGCTGTTGCTGCTGTATTAGTTTCCCTTGCGATGTAGGAGCCCTTATGACCATACCAGCAGGACTCGCTGCTAAAATACTCTGACCGCCGTTAAACATTCCGTTATTTTGAACTGGAGTCAGAACATTTTGTCCGTTAACGTTCTGTAATTGCAACTGCATGCCTATGTTTGAAGTGTCCTGTAATATCGTCGCAGTTCCATCAGGGTTCATAACCATGCCTCCTAGATTCGGAACTATAAATTGTTGAATCGTTGGGAAATTCTGCACAACTCCGGTGGTGCCATTGATGAGATTCACTGGTTGAAGAAGGTTGATTTGTTGAGTCGGTTGTGAGTTTGTGATGAGTTGAGGACTCGTATTTGTCATCGGTTGTCCGTTCATCACAATCTGAGGGGGTCCCCCCGTTTTACTCGGAACAATCGTCAAGGCTTGCATCACCGGCCCTGTTGCCAAACTTTGCGGACTATGAGCCATTTGGATTTGCTGTGGGAAGCCTTGTTGCGACATTACAACGCCGGAGTTTTGTTGCGCAGCTATGTGAAGCATGTTTGCCACAGTCTGTGACATTTTTCGTTTCTTCCCTTTCTTCTTATTTTCCGGTGAAAGTAGGCCAGTGGTTCGTCTAGGGTCACCATTATCCAACTGGATTTGTTGTTGTATCACATTTCCAGCGACTATTTGAGGTAATTGCATGTTTTGACCAACCATAGACCCATCCATGGTCATTGTGACTCCGCCTTGTAAAACAAACGGTGTGGGTAAGGCGTTGACTAAAACAGTTTGTTGGCCTAGGACTTGTTGTGCTACCGCTGGTATGACTTGACTGACCGCAGCCGTGACGTTTGTGATCATTGGTGAAACGGAAATCGGCGGCATTGCGGTTTGATTAGAGACTAGTTTGGGTGGTGGAGGAGGCATAACTCCCGATTGGCTGTTTCCGGTGTTTGCCATTATTAATTGGCCACCACTCGAGACGAGAATGTGGCCAGGGGGTAGACCTGTTGGGGAATGTTTGACGATATGTGGTGGCGAGATTTGAGGATTGGTTTGAGACTGAGGGACTTGTATACTACTAACGACGCTTTGAACCATTTCGAGTGGGGATTTTGAAATAGTTTGTGTGACAGTCGTTGGGGTTGTAGATGCCGGAAGATTGGCAGGACTGTTGACTGAAACTGTTGCAGTGTTGGCACGACCAGCCAAAACAGATGTTATAGTATTACTCCCAACAGTTCGGCCACTCGCCATCGTCGTAACTATACTTGAAATATACGGAGTGTTCATTTTCGAACAACAGTCACTTTTTGGTGGATAATTCGTACTGCAAACCTCACGCGATTGGTAGACAGCATATGACATATTGTCATTTCTAGGAGGCGTGGGAGTATGAGAGTTAGGTGTAGGCGGATCTGATTGTGATCCATCCAATGGCGACACATTACTAGTACTAACAGTACCACCTTGAATCGGTCTCGAATCCGGTGATTGGTTATTATGTTTGTCCGAATACGTCGATGACGTCACCGGATCATCAATAGCCGAAGAACTCGGAGTTCCCGGTTGACTGTTAGGTCTCGAATGACCTTTATGACTGTCGCAATTTTGACATTGGTCGTTGGTGACGCTACTGTCGGCGTGTGCCGCCATCATTTGATTATACTGCTGTGACATTACTTGAGGAACTTGATTTTTTACTACGTTTAATGTTTGATTGGTTCGATTTGTAATGTTTTGCGTTTGTTTCATATGAGATATCACCACGTTACTGGGTAAAGGCACCTCGTTTGTTTGCGAATTCGGTGGTGTCAGGTGGGGCTGTTGCGGATTGTTGCACACCATGCCGGCGCATGCGTTAACTCCTACAAAAAAAAAAGAATTACAAATTAAATTTTAAATCTGATTCGAGTTTTATCCTCGCTTTTTTACCAGATAAAACTTAAATTTCTTGCATACTAACCTGTTTGCCTATTGATGGTGTTATTGAGTAGGGCCGTCTGTTGAGCCAAATACCCACTCGGATCCTCCATAAACGACGGACTTGCCGAATTCTGGTTGATAATAACCTGTCTCCCGTTCTCAGTGGGTATTTGCCGCACATCTATATTAGGGCACGGTGCGTGTAACGACGGCTCCATCATATGGTAGGGTCGATTTTTAACAATTTTACCCAACTTGACTTTTTTCCTTTTTATCTCATCCTGCCACATGGTTGGCGATGGTGTATGCGGATGTAACGGCGGCACTCTTTCGTACGCGTTGGGTGAACTTTGCACATTTTGAATTCGATTAGGCCATTGCATCTTTTGATGGTTGTTAATCATAACCGGCGCTTGCATTATCTGATTATTCTGCGGTCGAAAACCATTCATTTGGTTATTTCCGGGCAAAAATGCCGGTCGCATTTGTTTGGACGCGTCGTACTGTATCTGAGGGTACTGTTGGTTGTTGTAAAAGTGGTGGAGACGGTTTTGGCCATCTCTTTGATTCGTCACTCCTACAGGAATCATCTGTATGTTAGGCCGGCCTGGCCCACTTGGTTCGCTCGGTTGACTGTTAATGAAAACTCGCGATTGATTTGGATTAGGAACGACGTTTTGACCCTGTATGACCACTCCATTGTTGACTTGATTCGAATTGAGGGCCCCTTGGAGACTTATCATTTGACCGTTAGGACCGATTATATGCTGCTGAGGAATACTCGAATTTTGACCATTATGGTTCTGGTGAATTTGTTGCGATATGTTGGACTGTTGCTGGTGTACCATCATGGTACTGTTATCACCAACCACCATAGGTGAACCATTCACGATTCGATTTTGTTGCTCCTGATTTTGATATCGGACCATTTGCTGGCTCTCGGGATAACTTTGCAGACGATTGCCCATTTGAGAACTACTAGTCGGTGATTGGGGCCACACCTATAATTATCAGAATGTCAAATTTAAAAAAAATTCAAGTAACAAAATAATGACCTGTGCTTGATTTCCGAGACCTTCCTTGTTGAAATGCTGTTGAGTTAAAGCGAGTTTATCCGGACGAGTAAAAATTTGCGATAAAGAAACACAACCGGCGTAAGGCATGCCGACTTTTCGCTTGGTTTTCTTATTGTTGCAGTCTGGAAATAAATTTCATGTGTAATAAACTGTAGGATTGAAAATCGTACCTAACAAGAAAGAATGTGGTAAAAATAATAGAAGCTAAATATAAGTTTCAGTGGCGTATTTCATAACATAATAGTCTGACAAGTTTCGAACTCGAATACAAAAGTTACGCAAGTGGCCATTATCTGTTTTAAGATTCGTTATTTATAAACAAGAAAAATCTTAAATAGTTTCATCTAAAAGAAAATTATCATTTTAAAATACATAATATTCCCAATTTAACTTTCTACAATGTTTGTTAAGTGTTTCATCAAAAATTTTTGGAATATCAGATTAGGTTTGAAGCAAGAACAAGAGATAATCCTTTTAAATCTGTCGCTGTATCTCCCAGATCAATTAATTTTTGACTTTGGTTTACGATGTCCGCGTGTAAGAGATCGTCTGTCATTATCTTCAATATGGAAACAATCGCTGCTAGTAAAACTCGTTAGATAGCAGACAATTTATTATGCGAGTTACGAGGCATGAATGGAAGAACGATAATCTATTCAAAAACACGATCTATTAAATTTGACAGCGGCCATAAACTAGTTGTTAAATTAATGAAGCGTGCACTGGCATATCTATCCACGTGCATTTCTGTAATTTACTTAGAAGGTTTAGAGGGCACATCGAGTTGGCTAATGGGCAGAGAGCTTGTGTATGCTATGCATGATACAGTCCGGTCAGGGCAATACATTAACCGCAAATAACACGGAAAACACACAACATTACACATGTCACAGATGTTTACAACAATAGACTACTATATTACCGACATTGTGCTTCATTCGTTCGGGATGCTTCATTTACAAGATTATGGCTTGAAGGACGATTAAAATAATAGTCTCGCAAGACACCGCAACACAGAACACATCGGGGAATAACGCAATTATTATAATTAAATTTTCGGTCGCTTGAAGCCGGATAAATCTTTCATGAGAACGAGACATATTTATTAGCGTGGACAAGATCGATTGCTTACCATTTACACAACAACTATGCGCCTAAGACCAAAGTTTATTACCATTAATATTAATGATTTCCAAATACGAAACGGCTACATCGTAAAATTTTACGATCACGCATTGTTTTCGATAATATTTTAAACACATATCTATATAAAGCATCGACAGGTTGCTATTTATTTCAGATGTTTTTGTTCCGCAAATTACAAAGACTCCGACGTGCGAAAGATTCAAACATGCCCATTACAACAAGGACATTTTCAACTGTGAAAATTTGAAGAAGAGTATTCAGTGAACATTCCATTAAAATCTATTGAAGTTATGAATAAAATTCCCCATGTGAGGGTTTAAAAGAAACCAATTTCGTATTTTTCGGTTTGTTTGCGTATGGTGATCCCTGTTTGCGCCCCTTTTTCGTGCTAATAAATCGCGAGTTATCAAAAAAGCCGTAACTTGTGTATGAAACAATCAAACGCCAAGTTACGGCCTCGTAAAGCTGAAAAATAAACTTTACATGATCTGTAGGTAAAGATACGATTTTTCTCTTTCACCCATTAATTAACTTATTTACAGTTGGGCTTTTACGACACAGTAATTAATAATTAGATTTGTGGAAAAAAAAAGTATTCATAAAATATTTATGACGTTATTTTCGAGAGTATTTTATACATTTACTCAAAACTAAATTTCATATAGGATTAATTGAATATCGATCTTGATTAAAAACGAGCATAAAACAACAATGGGCGAAATTAAATTGGGAGCTTGTTGGGAAATATTCAAATTAATTGTATAATTTGATGATGTAAACCAACGGCGACTGTTGTAGCGAACAGAAACATAATGTAGGTATGAAATTTAATTACGTTCGTCCCTGATAACGTTTTAATTAAGTCCGTTTTAGTGCTTTATATTCTAGATTCGGACTTATCGCATGACGAAAACTTTTCATATTTCATACAATGCGAAAATTGCACGCTTTTTTAGCTCGTGTTAAACTCCTACCACTTTCAATTATGTTGACACTGTACAATATACTTAAATTAAGAAAATGCTTTCGCAACTTGTTACAAAGTAAAATTAAATTTGACTGTAATGGAGTTTTAACTTGTTCGGTGTAAAGTTGAAATAAGTTGGAAAATTACAGAGCTGTTCTAACAACTTTTCAACAGAATTGTCTCGTTCCTTGTTGACATATTTTCCAACCAGAAATTATCATCCTACCTATTTCTGAAAGAAAAAAACACAAAAACATGCTACTCTATAATATTCGAAGAATGGTATGTACTGGCAACTTGTTAGAAGAGTATCGTACATGTATGGAACGGTGTTCAAAGCCAAGGCCATTGGGTTGATTACACCTTTGCAATGCCAATCTACCATGGAAAATAAAACATTCAAATCTAACAAGCTGATCATTTAATGCATAAATTATGTACACATTTCGTTTCATTTTTCAATCACGTTTACGAGCCCGGCTGACGCAGATTAAAAATTAATAAATAACAGACAAACTACTTTTCCAAATTTCTCACGTCACGACTAAAATTGTGTTAAATTAAAAATAATTTAGAATTTTTTACTCAAATAATATAAAATTTCATTACAACAAATTTAATATTTCACATTTAGTAGGTGTTTAAATTAGGAGTAATAAATAATATTAACACAGGCTATAATTAACTCCTTGGCATTAAGAGTTTCAAATTACGTAACTAACAAATTCAATTTATCTGAAAACGATATAATCTCTGCTCTTGACTCCAAAGAAAACGTTCGTTTTTGAATATTCCCTCTCCCTATTTAGATAACCGTCTGCTTAATGCAAAATTGTCGTTTGCATACAAATTGAAAGTGGCAAAGTCTGCTCGAATATGAAAAATTTAAATTTCCATTTAATGTGCTCCTGCTTTTAGCCGGTCTCTTGTACGAATTAAACTCAATGTATCCCTCGTAAATATCCTTTCATAAATTAAGTATCGTAATTAGGTTTTTTTCTTCGCAATTTATCGCCGGGATTAGTCAAACATTCGAAATTAATTAGTACTGCGACTGGTAACACATCTTAATTTCCACACACGCTACTACAAAAAAAGTATTACGAATGTTTGAAAACGCTTAATACGGAGGTATTTATTGTAATTATTGCAATAAATAACAAAGCCGGTTGGCAATTTTTTAATCAACTGTTGGTATAATTATTATCGCTCTGAATTCATGGTAGAGTGAGTTTCAGGCATGCCACACCAGCCTCCGCTTTGGTATATAAAAGCTGAAAAATGATTGCGTTTGAGACGCGTCGATAAATGAAATTTTAAATTAATTCCATCACCTGGCCCGGTAGCTCGAAAAAGTACTTTTTATATGGAAAACGAATAATTACTCCGAATTAATTTATTATGCCACGAATGCGACCAAACATCACCTGCTAGGCACCTAAAAAAAAACTCTTACAACCCCTTAATCTCGCACAATCATTTCGGTAATCGATAATTTGTCGACTTTCGAAAACAACATCCCGCGACACGAAATTAATCATATTTCATGCATTAACCGAGCGGAAAGAACTGAATATGCACATTTACTGCCACGGTCCGTTGCCTTTTTGGGCTGTTGTACGAAAGTGTAATTTATCAGAGATACTAAAGGACCACACACACGATCCGGCTCGATTTTTTTTTTCGAGTACTTTGCATGTGTTCGAGGAAAAACCGCCCCAAAAGCCGTCAGAACTAAAACAATAGCGTGTCGGTGGCACGGGGCGATCTGACGGGCAAATAGGGAGCCGGTCAGCGAGCCGTGACGGGGCTTTCATTGTTTCGACTTGGTTCCCATTATTACGGTGTTACCTAGCATATTATGTATGATAAATACATTCAGACAGCTGCCCCGACGAAATGAATAGTCGCGGCGTCACTCGACGACGACGGCGGCGCCAGGTGTGGACGCACCCTCGCCCACGACACGTCATTAAACACTTTTAGTAAAAAAACGGATTTTTTAAAACAACAACTTCTGATTGTAATAACTTGAAAATCGATGCGGCCTACGATAAAGCCTATTATCATCCAGCGGCGCGTCGTAAACAGTGCTTGCCTGTCTCTTGTTAAATTAATTCAAAATTCTCAAGTTGGATAAAACGTGAATAACTCTCGGGCCGAATAATCTTAAAGATCCGGTAGAAATTCGCAATTACATAAAGCCTTTTATAAAATATTTAACAGCTCTGTTGCGGCAAGATTCGTAATATAAATTTCAGGAGTGTAGCTGAATTGAATTTAGTGCACTGAAAACCGTTATAAGAGAGCAAAACCCGGCTCGTTTTCTCGTTGCAAAAGCAGAGGAAAAAAAAACCGTCATCATGAAAACGTTTTTAGAGGAGAATTCGAGAATTATTATTCGCTTTGATCTTCGGATGCGCAACACACCAGTACTGGAAACAAACAAGATAAAAGAACGTCGAGTTTTATATCAGAGATTCTGTTTTTATTTCATCGTGTTTTTATGAATTGTCGGTAAATCGAACACTCTATATATTAAAGAATAAAGAGCGTCGTCCGGGATCAATAGTTCGTCCTCCGGAAAGCGCGACATCTCTAAGGCACGTCAGTTGATAAGGGTTAAATTCGTATCAGAGTAAAACGTTGTCATCGCCATCCGACGAGTCGACTGTATGCCATTACGACGTTGTTGGAGCGTCAGACTGACAACAAATTTGTCATTTAAAGCGATATTGAAAAGTCGAGAATCGAATTACCAAACAACAGAAAGCCGAAGGGAACGACCGCGATAAAAATTTAAAAAGGATTTTCTGGCGAATGCGCCGGGTCGGATAGATAAATTTACATTGCGACTTTATTGTTATCTCGCAAGGGAATGAATCAAAAACGTAGAGGAAACGCCTGGCAATTACGTTCTATGCTTGATAACGTTTAGACACACAGAAAGATCGAAAACGAGATACGGGACACTCAAGACACGAATCGTAAATTCGCATCACAAAGCAACACTCGAAGGCCGTTATCCGAAGAACAATCGCTTGTTTTACGATTGTTTAAGTAAACTAAGAGTTTCCTAAAAAATTACAACACTAGGTAGCAAACACACAAAAAATATGTCTAATTTAAAATTATGAGATGAGTGTGTAACATATGTTGGAAAGCAAGTGATGACAAGTTTCATTTCCCACGTAATTACAAACATGAGATGTGGTGATGCATTAGTAAATTAGGAGAAAAGTGATGAATGAGAAATTGGAAAAAATTCGGCTTTGAACAGAATTGTTGGTTGTCATTTTCTCGTTATGATAAAAATCGTCCAAAGACAAGTCTGCTATTTGTGAGATTTATTGTCGAAAACCTCCCATTGTCTTTGTCATTATGTAAATGTCGGTTCCACGTCCGACCTTCTGCTCATTCTTATTGTGGCACAAATTAAAGAAAACAACAATAGTAATTTGTACATGGCATTTTAACGAGATTGCGGTTTCCCATAATAATAGATTTAAAAATTTAACGCATCATTGTGACTCAATTAACATACAAAAGAGGGTGGCAATTTCGGCACAACTCGGCAAAATTTTCACTACCGCTGGTAGAATTCGAATTTTCCCTTCTATAATAGATCACATGGTAACACAAGTTCCCGGCTTGTCGCCGGTCATGAATTTTACATCGCGCCATGTGTCGCTATTGTCTAATTTTTCCGAATGTTACTCACGGATTCTGACAATGTGAAGAGGGAAATTAGTGGTTATCGTTCGTATCGTGAGCCATAACTCGAATCACGATATGTTCAAAGGTCAAATGGGAGAACATTGGGGTATTTACATAAAACTTATTGCAATATTAAGACTTGTGGTTTATTTCGCCGGCGATGCTAGTGTGGGAACAGAATGCATTATTCTAATATCCCTCACGCCCACAGCATAAATAGATAAAATTTTCTCTTTAAGGCCTCTCTCGCTCAGTGTCAATGTCGTGCAGAACAATTTGTATTACTTTGCTTACAATGCAATGTCGTCCGAGGAACCACTCCTTCAGACAAAACGGTTATTCATTAACTTATTCTTCACCGGAGACGCCCATAAAATTCCACTTTCATACATATTTTATTCGAAATTTCGGCGCAATTATACAGGGAGAAGCAAATTTCACCGTCGTCAATTAGACAACAATAAAAAAATAGGTAATTTTAATAAATGACCTATAGATTTGAAAAGCTGTTTTCTAAGCAAGCAGAACTTGAGTCTAATGTGGTCTCCTTTGCCCGCATTAATCGATTATGAAAAGCGATCAGAACGCGTGAAGAGGCAAATAAAAAGCTCGCCATCATATCGATCCATAATAATTGTCTGGAGGCCAAACACGATAAACTCGATGAAAAGAACTGGCCCCATATAAGGCAAAGCCTACATTGAAATTAAATTAACTGATTCCCGGTGGGTGTGATTCAAGTCACGACGTATCCTTTCGGATCTGCTGCTGCTCTGATATAGAAAGAACAAAAAAAAAAAGATTCTCGACGCACACACCTCGAGGGGGGCCTCCAATGATGACATTGGTTATTATGCAAGATTTGGGGCTGCTTGGTCGATCACAAAGGGTCATCGGTGAACGACCTCTCAGAGGCTTTCTCCTGCAGGAATACCTACAGAGAGCGACTCTCGATCTCTGCGACGGGCCATCGACCCAAATCAAGTGGTACACACAGTTTTACTGCCTACCTGGCGAGCCAAACTGACACTCCTTGATTAATGGTCGCGAAATGACCCAACACGCCCAACGACTACCAAAACAAATTCGCCAACATGACGATAACTTCATCGATAAAAACGAATATCAAGCTTGGGTTCCGGGTAATGAAGAGAAAATCCTTACGGAAATCTCCAACGGGAGAGATTGAAAAGTGTCGCGCGAGCTTGCATCACAATGAGAGGTTCGTATTCGTTTCGCGTAGAGAAATGTTTGGCTCCTAAACATACCGCAATTTGCCCCCAATACAATCAGAGGTCAAAAATAATAGCATTTAGTTTAATTACCAATGAAAATTCTTTTTTGTCATTAACTCTGCCTACCTTTTCGCATTTTGGCGGCGGGATCCGGGGGTTTGCACTCCAACGAGGCCATGGCGATGATTTTTCTCTTGTGGTTGCACAATTTGGTCAGGTCCCCTGTATTAGTGTCCGGCGATAGCGTCCACGGTTTACTGGCCACCTAAAAATGTTCAAATTGAATTGGAAAATTCGAACCGAGCGTTGCATCTATTCAAAAAGCCGAAAAAAAGTCGAGAGATAACGTTTCATTAACGTCGGATGCATTTGGTGAAAAATGTAAATCAACATGTCAACGTAAAAATGAAAAAACCCCCGAGTTAATTAATACGGAATTAATTTTTGGGACGCTGGTATTCGAACGGATGTTAATTTTAGTCGATTCCATTTTCCTCAGTTTATGATTTCTACATGGATGAATTTATGACCAGGAAACGGTCATAAAATTTATATATAACGCACGTTAAAAAACAAAGCTAATTAGGTTTTTCCTTCGATGGTTTATCTAGACAAGGAGAAAGAAAATCGGTTTTTTGATATCTCGAATGAGTTTACAAGAAGATGGTGAATTATTAATGACAACCTTGGCTGTGTCTGAACTTAGTTTAGTCGGGTGAAGGTTACTGTTCAATGCCACTACATAGGTAGATATATAATTTCTCAGCAGTAAACAAGCTCAATTGAATCGTAAGAAGTGTCCGAAAGTCAGCGATTTCATGAAAATATCTTTGAGAGAATGCAAGCAATTTCAGTCCGAACGTATGCATGAAAGAGGTCGCGACCTAAGAATAGAATATATTCAAGAGATTTACGAGACTGTGCATTCAAAAGCAATAGAAAACAAAGCCAGAGTGAAGCTGAACTAAAACACAAAAGTGGGGCATCTATGAACATAAAGTTCATTTTATTCCGCCTGTAATTTCCTGCCCACTGAGCGATATCATCGCACAAAGTAATCTTTCATTTGTTTCCTTCGTGGAATTTTCTCAAAAGAACAACTTGTTAACTACGCCAGAATTTTTCCCCAACAAATACACACCCCCGACGTTTTAATTACGATTCAAAGCTTTACAAGATCAATCGTCTTTTCGCCTCATGATTTATTTATACCGATAAGAATTCATATTTGCACACCCACTACCGGTGGTTCAATTCGACATTATGCGGAAACTCGCAAGAAAAATAAACGAAAAGATTAATAAAACATGAAGTTATAATACGAAATATTTGTGTAATAAATCATGGAACGTCCACCGAACTATAAACGAAATTAATTAAGGGATCGTTTCGTGTATTATTTTGATTTATGTCGAACGTTCGAAAATTCGGTCGAGGCCGAAAACACAAGACGCAATAATTTATCATTTTAATACGACAAAACAAACGATAGAACGAGAGCGCACTTAATGAAGACGAACTGCAGGAAACATTATTAGTTTCGCAACTGCAAAAGCTTAATTCCGCGTCGTATGCAAAATATCCCGAAAGGACATTACTACAACCTGTTAATTAAGAGCACAACACCGGAATAATGGCATTAGAACCCAAAAAAAAAAAAACCTCAACGACTAGAAATGAATTTACATCAGAAATTCATAGACATTAAAAACCCGTTTGAGATTTTTCCACACAAGTGAAATAAAAATTTTTTTCGGTTCGTCTATTTCATCGTTCTGCGGTTATTACTTATTAGTTTCAAGGTTGATAAATATCGTCATGTTTACTTTTTGTAACACAATTTAATTACGTAACGTCAGGGCTAAATAACGTAAAAAATAATCCGACTTTTGCGTCGTAATGAAATTAAAGTAAAAGAGAATTCGTGAAAATTGCATTATCTAAAATTAGTAACCGAAATGACGAGAGTTAAATTCGTAAAGGGGTTAATAAATATTGACTTTTTCCCTCCCGACGATGAAATGGGTTTTAGCTTTCAGGATCGTGAATGCTTTCTAAAATCGAGTTTCCCTTTTCTCATCATATAAAATAAAGTGAATTTCTCGAGCGGAATTACTTCGTTTATAAATTCCAATAAGAAATCCGCCGAGGAGCCGAATTTCATTTCCGTCTGTGTTCACATCCATTATAAAAACACTGTTATTACCGTCGAGTTAAGTTAATATGTCGAGTTATTTATGCTTTGCCAGAAAAGTGCAAAGAATGACAGAAAAGAAATGTAGAAACAATTTCAATTTTTTGAAAAAAAAATTAATGCATTCCATTGACTAGGATAATAAAACTGGTCGAAGAGCTAATGATTGTCGTTGAATGCGATCCTTGCATATAAATATTGATGAGCATTTATATACGTTTAATTATGACATTGAGATAACGTGTCTGTCGTTGAGGTCCTCTTAAGGAACATGTGTCAGTTGCTTGTCCTCCATGGAACGAACCAACGACTGTTAACGTAATTAAGATTCTATCGCTACAAATTATCTCTCACGGATGCGTCTCCTAATTACACTTAATTTTTTCTACTACCATATTTTGAGTCTTCGACCACGAATTTCACCTTTTTGTTTTTTGTTGTGTTGTTTCGAATCGTGTTCATTCCCCAATAGAAGCAAAAATAAAAAAATAATCGTGGAACTGCTGATGCACTCAACGGTACAATTATGGCACATTAATTATCGTCGATCGAACTCAATCGAGGGTTGAGCTATCGTCCCCGTTCGGTCGAGTTTGTGTACTAATCGATGTCGAAGCGTATCCTATTATGCGATCCGACATTTGTTGTTTTGTTATTTTGAGACGACGATTTAAAATCCACCCTTTACACAAAAGTCGAGAGATGATCTCGATAAACTAACAGATTTTCCGAAAACAATTTACCGCAAGCGGGCCATAAAAGTTTTTATCACGAGATTAACTTCTCGCAGGAGTCCGGGAGCTTTTGAAAAGGACCGTAATTATTCAGCTGAAAAGCTGCTCGACTATCGTGTAACGCTCCGGCAATTCGCTCCCAACTTTTATGCGGGAACGTAGAGTATTTACGTCGTCCATTACTCTCCGGACGTGATTTATTGTTTTCCGAGATTTTAAGATGACACACGTCGCGTAAAAGGATTTAAAACTTTGTAAATGGTAAGTCGTTCCGTGCTGGATTATACTCCGGGAGGAAAACTAATTAAGCTCGTCTTCCGATAACGATGCTTGCGAGTTTTTGTCGAACGGTTTTTTGTGCGTGTCGGCGGAAAGTTTACTAATAGGTTTTGAGCTTTTGTTGGGGAATCATCCGAGTAACGAGATTTAAAAGGGCGGAAATGAAGACGTTACCGATCGACTCCGGCTTAAATTAACTCACAAACATATGGTTTATGTGTCGCAAGGGTGTAACTTGAAACTTACACAACGTTGAACCTTGTTATAGATCGAAAAGTGTCTTGTTAAACATGCGTAAATACTACTAGGAAAAAAATGCACCAACATAACAGACTTTGATTTAGTTATTCTGAATTTTCAGCGAACGTCATATCCATCCACAAAATTAGCTTCGTAACTTTGCATCCAACATTCACTATTGACGTTGCACATTTGATTGATACCCAGATGGGAATACTAATAACCATTAATTAACGTCGAACGATCGACGTTTCATACGTTTTGCGATATGCATACTACCCAACCCTAGAATTTATTCGATTTTTCTTGCTGTTTTCGACACAAGTGTGTATTTTACACCAACTATACCTATAATCACTCTTCGGTACCGGAAATTACCGTCAATTTTCCAGTCTACAGGTGTATACGATCCAAAATCGTAAGGGTTGATGAACTCATTATTTCCCTATTTAAACTCGCCGCTGGACGACCGCCGCATGGACGAAAGAATCTTTCAAAAATACACCTTATTAACTGGTAAAAATGCATTTATGTGTACCACCACCTCGGGGGGCTATTCCGTGATTACACATAATGTTTAAATTACACTAAATTACCACCGACCATTATAAACGATTGTACCACAAAAATTTACTCCACGTGAAGCGGTGCTTCCAAAGACAAACAAGGGAACTATTTCGACACGGGTATGTACAAGAAATGTAATTTTAAACCAACCCTAGCCATCCAAATGTCGCCAGTTTTTTGTCCATTATAATCAACTGATTTATTTTTATTTCTTTCATCTCAAGTTGTATGACAAGTTGGATAAAAACTTAAATTATTCGTTTTTAGTAGTTTTTGGAGATGTGTATTTCTTTGTCAATCAGCCAAAACATTTTTTGTTGGCAATAAATTGCCCCAATTTTTCAAATCTCGGTCGATAAATTATGCTTTCTATCGGCGTAGGATTTCCATCAGACGCGTTTAGACGCGCGGTCCAACTCGCGATCGATACCAGCGTCGACCATCCACCTCTTACCCGTCTCTTTGTGCATCTCCTAGTAAGGTTGTTCGCCCCGTTTCGCTAAAAACGATTACCTTTGTATCTAGACGTTGGAATGATGTTTGCTGCAAATACCCTTATCTTTACCGCATCGCATTTTCTCGACAAGTGTCGAGACTCTTGTCAAAATTGCAACGACTTTTCGACAAACTTGAAAAAACTTGTTGCATTGTTTCACTTACCTTAGGATCGAAATTAAAGGTGTTGTCATATTTAAAATGACATTCTAATCCACACTTGCAAGTGCCCGACGTGAGAAGATAGTCTTTGACTTGTTCCGGAGAACTTAAAGCTGTGTTACTTGGGCTGAAACAAAAAAAAAACACTTGGATTTATTTCTAAAAATAATGGTGAAAAGTTAAAATAGCTTTGACAGTGTTTTAATGTCGAGTTAATGGAAAGCAATGAACACGTTTATGGTTTCCCATTTAACAAAGTACGGAATCAAAGACAACACCTTTACATCTCGGTTAATGAACCAAATAGTTCCAATGTACGGTCGTTTGATACGATAAAGATCGAAACTCGAGACTAGACTAGAGAACAACCACACAGTAACTTACATGATTTACAACCTTACTATTCACAATTCAGTAACACTAGATAATATCTCGGCTTCTCATTTCGCTTAATTACGACTATACAACTCGAATCAGTCCCGAGCATCATATGTTATTTTTTCTACCACCTATTTAAAAATGTTTTTATTGTAACACAAGTTAAGTGAAATACTTGTTCGAGCGTCACACAAACGAAACAATAGAATAAAAGGTACAAGTTGCCAAGAGCGCTCCAGAGGAATGAAGGGCTATTCAATTCGGAGCAGATGTTCAGACGAGATTTCTACACAGACTCCAAACAATTTTTCCAGTAAATCTTATGCAAATCGCAAAAATTTAATCGTTTCAATTATGCCCACAATGAAATCGATTCCGAGTCAGCTTTAATACAGTCACATGCAAATTAATAAGCTGCGCTAGACGGATCATCCAGTCATGAAAACAGGACTTGAAGAGTCTCACAGATTGCAGCTGAGTAGTTTATGAATATGCATGGACACATTGTGCAGCTCCTTTTATCCAAACATACTCCTAGGTCGTGTTTGTTCAATATACAAAACGGAACGATTTTGTTTTATTGCTACTCATACTGGTAATTAGCCGTTTGCTTTGACGCCTAGACAAACAAAAAACTAAAAGGAGTGTTATCTATCTGGTTATGTTAACATTAAACGGGTTTATGATCGCTTAAGCTAAACTTTGCGGTTTTAAAACGAACGAGCTAGAACCGCATTTTTACGCGTTTTTGCACGGATACACTCAGCCAAGATTGCTCAATCAAAACCTTTATTGTAATATACCACCAACTACACATTTTTCAAGTGTAATTCAGAAACCATCACATGTAATTCAGATTAGTCAATTGTCTTTCAGAAAGTGTTAATTGTAATTCAGAAGAGTAAAATAAGTTTCAGAAACCATGAGATGTAATTCAGATTATGTCGTTAATTTAATTTCAGAAAGCTTAAATTTGAATTCAGATTAGTCAATTATATTTTAAAAAGTATTAATTGTAATTCAGAAACCATTACATGTAATTCAAAGCAATACCTACCTAAATTCAATTTCATGACACATGTAATCCAGAAAATATCAATTATAATTCAGATTAGTAACTTACTGTTATCTTAAAATGAAATTTACTCATAAACACGAATTATTTTATTTTCAAAATTAAAGAATTACATAAACTTGGTATTGTACAAAATAAATAAGATATTTTATTTTCAAAGAGGTTTTGATAATGTAATTTTTAAATAAAAATGACGAATTCTGAATTACAATTGACTAATTCTCAATCACAAATGACAAACTGAATTACAATTAACACTTTCGGAAATACAATTGACTAATCTGAATTACAATAAAATTAACGTTTACTGAAATATATCTTATGCTTTCTGAATTACACTTAGTAGTGACGTGAAAAAAATATATATCGATCAAAAAAGCTATATATGTTATACAGGATGTATCAAAAATAAGTAACCAAAGTCTGATTGAAAATATTGAAATTATTTGTCTCGAAATCACAGCTAGTGCAGGCTGTATGTGCTATAAAAAGCTACAAAAATAGTTTCTGTTGGCTCGTCAACCGCAAATTTTTATTAATCTTTCGACATTCAAGATGATTTGCGGTCAATTAATGTTTCCAAGGTTTCTGGCTAAACCCACCGTTCTGAAAAAAATCTGCGGTTACATATCTCGAACACAAAGTGCGCATTTATTGACGTTTCTATTCTCGTAAGGCAAACAATGACGTGTTTTAAAATTATATAAAATGAAATTTGTACACAACCAGATAATTATTCTAGTCGTGTAAATATTTCGAAAAGAATTTTTCTAAAGTAAACAAATGCGCACTAATTATCATAGAAACTAAAAATCTGTATCCTTGAAGGTTATCTTGTTGAGGTTACTGACAGGTGTTTATGTAAATATTTCTTCACTCTATCAAGTAGTAAACTTTTTTCCGGTAGTATGTTTGTATTTTATGACACCCTTGTATCCTAATCGTTGGACGTCATAAACAGATTTAATGTTTCTTTAAATGGTCACGTATTTGAAATTCTCTTGGGCCTTTTGTGTCACAAAACTCGTTTAAAAAAATTCAAGGTTGGTTTAACAAATCCGCGCAATCAATCACAGCTGACAAGTGTGGGTTTTTCAATTAAAAAATCGTAAAGTAGATTTTTCTCGAAATCGAATTGATGATAGTTCCAGTTGGTAATTTTTAACGAGCGATTAGTCCCCACGACCGACCTCATGTGCGAAATGAATAGTAATGATGCAAATCATTAATGGGATTGTCGCCTAACTCCGACGCTAGATTAAAAGACAATTAAACAAGATTAAAATGGGATGACAAAGCGGTGCCTTGTTTCCTCGCAGCGCACGAAATTAATTCATTAGCGTCGCGCTGGGGGCCCCGATTACACAGATAATCTGTATCAGACTTCATTACTCTGCGTCCTGGTTTTGTTAGGCGGTCGACCATTATTCCAGAGAAGATAATCTAGATCCTGATTTTTTTCAAAAATTCACTCCCAACACAACCAAATTTCATTAAAATCGGATCACAAAAACAAAAATTACAAATTTAATTTTGTGACATGCCACAAACCTATCTTATCTGCTTGAGTCTGAATTATTATAATTGAATCCGAGAAACCATTAACTACCACACTCATTTAATACAGTCTAAACGCAAAAGGTATACGTTGTATGTAAATCGGAAAATGGGAATCCGAAAGTATTTTATGAGCCACTTATTGACGACAACTAGTTTACCATTTGCAGTGGTTAAATCAGTGTTTTTGTTCAATAAGGCAACACAAAATCGAAACCCATTCAATATTATAACTGTACTTCAATAAAAAAAACACTCTTGTGTTCCAAGTACCAATTAACGTCTAAAGAATAATTATCTTCGTCGATATTAACCATTCCCTTGTTTCGTTTTTGCTCGCATTCGCTTCCACTCAACCGATGACCATTTAACATTCTTTTTGCATTGTTTCGCATGCAACTGCATCGTTTTCACCTTCTCTTTGTTTTACAAGAATCTTTTTCGGACACTCATGTAATTGGTTATTTCACCGGCGATGGGGGCTATCATTACTTAGTCTATGACCTTCCCGACTTAAACGATGCAATTTACAATAATATATCATCGTTTCTCATCCGCAGAAAGCTAATCTATTATTATACGTTCAAGGGGAATCACCTCTGCGTGCACCTAGTTGGAAGCATTACAATTCAAATAATTTCTTCATCAAGTTTCATTAAATTTTTCTGGTGTTAGTTTTAACCCTCGCGCAAGTTGGCAACTCGATCAAAACTTCCCAAAGCTGTTAGTAAATTAAATAAACACGTTTAGGAAGTTTTATCTCGCGAATGTTGTACACAAGCGCTATTTACGAGAATTGAGTCAACTTTCAAATAGCTCTAAAATAATTCGAGTAATTTTTTTTTGCTTTAATCTGGCAGACATTCCGACCAGATGTTCGATGTAGAAAAAAGTGGAAAACAATCCCACAGACTTTTTCAGTGTTTGTCAGTTAGCAAAGTGTTAATGTTGAGGATACAATACGAGACAACAGGTGCGTTTAGACACAAACAGATTTATAGTCCACCATGATGATAATAGATACAAGAATGTGATTCGAATCCGCCTACTTTACAATACACAAACGCCTATATATTTCAGTGTCGAGTTCTTCATTTCGGTTTTTGTTCCGACACTGGATCGGCCAATAAAATTTTCTCTAATTAACGACGTCGTAAAATTTCATTGCGAGCGACCGTACAAAAAGTGAATTTGCGACTGTCGATGCGAAATAAACACACAATGTTTTTGCCAGAATCCGACTGTGCGTTAGTTGGAACATTCTAAAAGGAAATATTAAAATTTCATTCGTCGGTAAATGAGTCATGAGGGGGCCGAGATAGGGGAAATCGTTTCCTTTACCTGGCAAAGCAGTTACATAATATTTCAAAAGCTCAGACGGGAGAATATTAAATGTCGTAAATAAGTTTACGTCGTTTTAAATTATAAATCGACGTTTCACAAGCGAACTCGTGAATATTTAACAGTTTTGAAACGATATTACTGCGCGATTTGGCGACGAAACGAAAGACGACAGGATGAGCAATGAAAGCCACCGAATTAAATCATTAAATTTAACTAGCGCTCGCCTGAGGCTTTGTCTGTATTGTATCATTGTCAACTGTGAGCAATGCTCACCCCCATCCATTCATAACGCCATGATTTATTGCCCTAAACCATACCCGATAAATGCTACAAACCTTGTCTCAATTAGGCTGCATTCGACGGCAAATTTTTATTTTTGAGATTACTTTTATGATCCATGCTAGTTTACAAAAAATCAAAAAAATCCAACATGGGAAATTTTAAATTGCGTGAAAATATGCTTCTTGATGAGATTCATTTTTATTAATATACAATTTTGAGTTTTCAGGCGTTTTTTAATGTTTTCTGGTAACATGAAAAAGTATTTGAGTTACCTTTATTATGATTCGAAATATTATTAGATAACTGAAAACAAGAGCCGGCTTCAGAATCAAAAACAGTTTTTCTATTACATATTTCTTTTATTTGCAACAAGGTTCTTATGCAATGTTCTGAAATGAAATCGAAAACCATGGAAAATTGATTTTTCCCAGCAAAAGTTGGCGGGAAAAGCGACCTTTAAAAAGCCTCCTCGCCAAAGAAATAAGAGACAG